TGTAACATCTGTAGTGGAAATGTTCTGACCCCGTTATTAGAGAGGGCAGAGTTGAGGTTAATGTTGTTAAATCTTCTTTCTTTGATTTTTTAGAGACTTGGGGATATTTTAGTTCAGATTGTGACACTAGCAGGTGACCCTGACTGTGCATGAGCTGGTGGGTTAACCTTGGCCAGCAGCCAGATGCTCACCCTGGCCTCTTGCCACAGAGGCCACCCCTGCAGCCCCCCACATCTACAAAAACCTGGCCACCTACACCCTTTACAGTCAGAAACAGTAATTTTCTTTTTGTGCCAATGAAGAAAATACCCATTCTTCCCTTCTACTGGCTGCAGTTGGTTGAAGATCATTTGCTGGCCAGAATTAACACTTTTCCTACTTACTGTTTTATCTCTACATATTCTTTGACCTTCCTCTTCTGAGGTGAGGAAGTCGTGTGAGTAAGTAGGCTTCGATGAGCTAAACAAAAGAGACAGGGAAATCAGAGAGACTGAGTGAGATCAGTGCTGACATACTATTTGGAAGAATAGAAGGAAAAAGGAGATCATCGTGACACCTGCTTCCCACATGTGCAGACTTAATCTCCTCTTTATACTGTCATGTGTTGTGCTGGCAGGACTCTTATCCCTAAAAGTACGTTCACTAGCCATTAGGAAGAGAAAGGGAAATTTGGGGTTCTCTCCTCTAATCACAGAGCAACAGAGGATCCTCACATGAGATACTGAAGCAGGTGCTGAAATAAAAAAAGGAGTTACAGAAAAATAGTATTTGTAAAGGAGTTTGTTAATAATGGATGAAACAAAGTCTCTTGTCTCTTTCTTAATATTTGTAGTTCTCCTCTGCCAGAAAGTAAAGGCCATTTCAAACCTTTATTCATTGATGGGTCTTAGAAGTACAGTATTTTTTTAAATCTGCTTCTTAATTAAAGCTATAATAACTATATCAAATTCTCAGGAACATAACAAGGAATATCCCTAATGCAAGTATGCTTGGGCCTTGCCTCACAGTATTGGGGGGAGTCATAAGTCAGGTTCAAATTGAGAGAAGAGTGTGGTGTTGCTCTATAAGTATTGATACCCCTACAACAGTGGAAAATTGTTATTAATGATCTCTTTCAAAAGAGCTCTAAGCTTTTGAATTTAAGATCTTGAACTTCAATCTTTTGAATAATAGTAATAAAAACCTGACAAATTTTGAGCTTCTTTCCAAAATGTGAACACTAAAATTAACATTTCAGTAATGTAGTAAATGTCTTAATACATCCAAAAGTAGTATTTGCTGTCTTAGCTGCCGCATCACGCTTGAAGTATAAGTTTAGTTGGTAATTTACGCTTAATTTTAAGTCCTTCTCGACTTCATTAAATTCCATTGAATTTCTTCTGTCTTGTGAGTATAATCTGCATTACCTGCTTTGAGATGCAGCCTTGAATTTAGACTTCTGAAATTCACATTGTTCTGGATATTCCACATTACCAGGGAATCTAAGGTTTCTTTGTAGTTGGTGTATTTCTTCATTGTTTTATGTCTCCAACAACTTTGGGTTATCTACAAATGTTCTCTGTACTGATTTTTTAACTAGCAAACATTAGTTCTTATCCAGGAACTACTGGGATGATTTCTGATATAGCACTGTCATAAATACCTAGAAAAACAGCCAAGTTGAGGAAAACTAAAATAAATTATAGTGAAGTAGAAATAAATTATTTCTTTTTCCAAAGAAATAGATTTTCTCTATGTGTCATTTTGGTGTGTTTCTTTAAAAATATTCCTATATTTATGCACTTTGGCTGTGGAAGTACTTTGTATTTATGCAGAAAAAAATTACGAGAAAAAAATTAAAAACCATAAGACAAATTTGGATTTTAGTCAGCTGTTTAAAATTTGAAATTTCAGATACTTGAATATGTGTGCAACACTGAATATTAGAATAGTTTGCATGTCTAATCATCAACTTTACTGCATTAATTTATCTTGCTGAGAACAACAGTATGTTTTTGTACATGTGGGAAAAGGGATAAAAAGCTTCAATTTGCATCTAGAGGAAAAAACTACATGTGACTACAGCTATTGCTTTTTTGCTGGTGGTGCCTTAAAATATATATTTTTGATTATATCTTTCACTAGAGTATTTCAGCATCAGTCAGTTAGTCATTTATACCAGCTGAGCATATAGCCTATGGTCTGAGGTGATAGCTGGCATTTTTTCCATACTCTCAGAAATAATACAGGGAACAGTCATTTAGTTTTCACACAAGTAGGATTTTCCCATCAGTAGCTTTACAAGGTTGTCTGTTTATAATCCTTCGTCTCTTCTTGAACATAATTTTGCTCTTAACGCTGATGTTGAATCTTCTTGTAAGGATTGTCTTCATCTTTTGTTACAGGGGTTTTAAGTAGGGTAATAAAATCTAGTGATGTGGTCATTGTTGTATACTAAAAGCCTATAGTCAGACAACTTCTGCCAGAAGTGAAATTGGAAGCATTATCAATGATGATGTTTTGTAAGATAAGATGGGTTTAATTATGTTTTATAAGCACCGATGAGAAAGAAGCGTACTTGTTAACTACCATTCCATCCCATTTATTCACTACACTTCCTTCAATGTACCGTATATGTTTCACAGGAAGCTCTCCAAAGACAATATTTTGAAATTAATTATTGTTATGACTTAGTCTTTATGCATTTAAAAAAAATAGCACTGCAGAACATCCCTGGACTTCCCACGGGTGCAGTAGTGGGAGGTCTTTTGATGCAAGGAGGGTTGCAGGACAGCAAGTATGCAGCTTGCACTTTTTGCTGTTTACAAACCCTATAGAAAGAAGAGGATCGGTGAAACTATTGTTTAATGTGTTTGCTGGTCCATCTGAATTGTGTCCCATGAGGGTAATTCCCATGACTCCTTATCAGCAAGGAACTATTTTGTTGGATTTGTTTTTTGTGAATTGGTGATGCACTTCTTGATTTATTTTTTGTCCTTTTGCTCCTGAAAACAATAGGTCCATTAACTGTTTGGTGAATACCCTTGTTACCGTCTTTATGTTCTACATTCTACATTCTACAATGTACATTGTTCTAGACAAAAGGTCTGAAATCCTCAGATAATACAAAAAATTTTAGCAGTGATAAAAAGCTGCTCGGAACTACCAGTAAGTGAAAGCCTTGATTTTTCTTCTTACAGCTTGGTAAGTGGGTTCAATTGTAAATTCTGTCTTCACAAAATATTCCAAATGTATTAGTTTATACAGTGCTCTTCAGAAGTAGCTGCCTTTGCCAGCTCACATTGTTTTGGCTAAGGAGTAAGGGTGGCAAAGTAGCAGGGACGCAAAAAGAACACTTCTCACCAGACCTTAGATGTCCGCATCACAGGTGAACAGGGCAGTAACAGTAAATGCTGTTGAATGGAAAGAAATAAACACTTCTCAAACACTGTTAACCTGGTCAGCGTTAGGATGAGATGCCTACTTCTCTCCAATGACTAGAAAAAGTGCCTAGGATGAATTCCTTGGAGGTAGATGTCTATAGTATAAACATTGGGACAGATAAATTCCCATTCAGAACATCTGTCATTTTACACTGATGAAAACACAACACTTCATTAATGCTAACTGATATTTTGCATATAAATGGAGGCAAATATACATATGTAGCCTACATTTTTTTGCTATCATTTAAGGACATATTTTTCTTCTAACTAAAAATTCTATTTAAAGATGAGTGCTTCTGAAAATCAGTTTTCAGCTTGTTTATGGGAGGGTTGATTGAGTTGAGCAGATTCTGCATTTAATGACAAAATAAAGTAAAGTTGTAATATTTTAATTCCAATGTAAACCTACTTGGTGAAATATTTTAAATATGATTAGAATGCAGAAGGAAGACATTATTAAATGAAATGGAAATGTTTTAATGACACAGAAGCACTGGTTACTAAGTGACTGAGTATATTTAGGGAACTAAACCAAGATACAAGCTGTTTTTCAGGGTATGTAAAACATTACATGCTCCTTATTTTCAAACATTTATATATTGAGTTAAATGCAGTATGAGTGTAAACAAATCAGCAAAGTTTATATGACTTGCATTTGTGGAAACTTAAGGTTGTGTGTCAAGTATATACCAAGAAAATGACATATTTAACTTTGAATTTGAAAAAATATACCAGCAGACTGTGATTTTTCTAAATCACTTTTCTTTTTCAATACTTTTTTGAGAGAAAGGAGTGGTTTTGATATGGAATAATTTTAAATTAGCATATTTGCATCAAGTACAACAAATTATATTCCATGATACTATCTGATACTTAAAGAAAGTAGTAATAATACTCTTCAAACAGGGACTATGAACTGAAACAAGTTTTAGGAAAGCTATTACTCAGATTGGTAACGCCATTCATGTGTAGATAGTAGATACCAAAGAGGTCATGCTTTTGAGTAAGGTTAATTTAATAGACATGTCCAGCAATTTGCAGTTTCTTCAGTGAATTATTGAGTTTAATTTTGAGTTCTGAGCCAACAATTTCAAGAACAGCAATTTTTAAAATGTTTTCTGGGTAAGTATGAAGTTAGGTAAAGCCTCGTATATATGAATGATCAAATGCTATTTATAGAATCACAGAATGGTTTAGGTTGGAAGGGACTGTAAAGGTCATCTAGTTCCACCCCCCCTGCCATGGGCAGAGCCCCCTTCCACTAGCCCAGGTTGCTCAAAGCCCCATCCAGCCTGGCCTTGAACACTGCCAGGGAGGGGGCAGCCACAGCTTCTCTGGGCAACCTGTGCCAGTGTCTCATCACCCTCACGGTAAAGAACTTCTTCCTTGCATCTAATTGAAATCTCCCCTCTTTCAGTTTGAAATCATTACACCTCGTCTCATCACTACACTGCCTGATAGAAAGTCCCTCCCCATCTTTCCCACAGGCCCCCTTTAAGTACTGGAAGGCTGCTGTAAGATCTCCCAGGAGCCTTCTCTTGCAGGCTGAACAACCCCAGCTTTCTCTGACTGTCCTCAAAGGGGAGGTGCTCCAGTCCTCTGTTCATCTTTATGGCCCTCCTCTAGAGCCGCTTGAGCAAGTCCATGTCTTTCTTGTGCTGGAGGCCCCACAGCTGGACATAGTACTCCAGGTGGGCGTCTCACTAGAGCAGAGTAGAGGGGGAGAATCACCTCTCTCGACCTGCTGGCTACACTTATTTTGATGCAGTCCAGGATGTGATTATGTTTCTGGGCTGCGAGTGCACATTGCTGGCTCATATTCCATTTTTCGTCCATCAACAGCCCCAAGTCCTTCTCCGCAGGGCTACTCTCAATCCACTCATTGCCCAGCCTGTATTTGTGCTTGGGATTGCCCTGACCCATGTGCAGGACCTTGCACTTGGCCTTATTGAGCTTCATGAGGTTTGCACTGGCCCACCTATAAAGCCTGCCAGGGTCCCTCTGGATGGCCTCTCTTCCCTCCCGTGTGTCAACTGCACCAACAGCTTGGTGTTGGGGCAAACTTGCTGAGGATGCACTCAGTTCATGTTACCAACAAAGATGTTAAATAGTACTGACCCCTGAGGAACACCACTCGTCACTGGTCTCCCCTTGGACATTGAGCCACTGACTGTGACTGAGTGCAACCATCCGTCCAATTCCGGATCCACTGAGTGGTCCATCCATCAAATCTGTGTCTCTGCGGTTTAGAGACCAGGATGTCATGCGGAACAGCGTCAAATGCTTTGCAGAAGTCCAGGCAGCTGACATCAGTTACTCTTCCCTTGTTCACCAACGCTGTAACCCTATCGTAGGAGGCCACCAAATTTGTCAGGCATGATTTGCTCTTGGTGAAACTATGTTGGCTGTTGCAAATCACCTCCTTATTTTCCATGTGCCCTACTGTAGTTTCCAGGAGGATCCGCTCCGTGATATTGCTGGGCACAGAGGTGAGACTGACTGGCCTGTAATTCCCCAGGTCTTCTTTTTTTTTTCCTTCGTAAAAATAGGGGTTATGTTTCCCCTTTTCCAGTCAGTGGGAACTTTGCCAGACTGCCACGACTTCTCAAATATGATGGATAGTGGCTTAGCCACTTTGTCTGCCAGTTCTGTCAGGACCCGTGGATGCATCTCATCAGGTCGCGTGGACTTGTGCACCTTCAGGTTCCATAGATGGTCTCAAACCTGACCCTCTCCTGTAGTGGGGTGGTTATTTAGTCTGCTAGTCCCTCTCTTTGCCTTCTGTGACTTGGGTGGTATGGCTGGAGCACTTGCCAGTGAAGACTGAGGCAAAAAAGTCATTGAGGACCTCAGCCTTCTCCATATCCCAGGTAACCAGGTCTCCTGTTTCCTTTTGGAGAGGGCCTGCGTTATCTCTAGTCTTCCTTTTGTCACTGACATGCATATGGAAGCTTTTCTTGTTACCTTTGATGTCCCTGGCCAGGTTTAATTCTGTCAGGGCCTTGACTTTCCTAAACTGATGCCTGGCTTTTTGGACAATTTCTCTGTATTCCTTCCAGGCTAGGTGTCCTTGTTTCCACCCTCTGTAGACTTCCTTTTTTTTGTTTGAGTTTGTCCAGGAGCTCCTTGTTCATCCATGCAGGCCTCCTGGCATTTTTGCCTGACTTCCTTTTCATTGGGATGCAGAGAATATTTGTAATATATCAAGAATAATCAGAACCCATACTGCAAGAAAAAAATGCATAGCTTCTCCCAGGCCTTCCTGCCTGTCCAGGATAATGAGTGTATGAACCAAAGGCCGTGGAGGTTATCAGAAGGATTCCGCAAAACCTCAGCACCTTGGATTTGGCTTGCTGCCCCTTGACTCATCAGAACTAGCTGCATATTTTAATTAAGGTTTGTTCGATGGCAAGAGGCCTTTCTGTGTGATGAAGAGAAAGTCTCAGTGTTACTTCTGTGGCAGGGTCTGCTTTGCTATCCAAATCATACTGAACTATTCATCTTTCAGGAGCTATTTCCAAGCCAAACATAACGGTTCTAGTGTTGACAGAGGCATTGGTTTTCTTGTCAGACAGTGACATGTCTGTTTTTGGAAAAAGGGGATAACAGATGAATGTGGAGTCTTCCTTCTCTACTTCTTTGGACCATCCTTGGCCTTCTGTTTGGTAGCTGACTAGGTTCTGGGTTGGGAAGGAGTATAGGTATCTAGCTCAAACCTGACATTAGTGGTTTGTATTTGGTTTTGTCTTTTTAGAATCACACAACAGCCCAGGTTTGAAGGGACCTTGAAAGACCACCTGATCCAACATTTGTAGTAGAATCCCAGATTGCTCCATTTGATCTCTGTAAACCTGCAGTACTGATTCTTATCAAAACCACTGCTACTGGCTGATATTTTCACACCACTTGTTGAAAAGACCCTGAGACTGCTTTCTAGGGCAGCATCCAGGATCTTTTCAGAGAGTCACAGAATCACAGAATGGTGATTTTCCACACCACAATGTGGAAGCATGGCTCTCTGAAGCCTATGGTACCCACGCTGGCCCAACACGAGTTGGTAGCATCATACAAGGTTGTGTAGCAGCACGTGGCCATACTACCTTGAACCTAAAGCCTTCCTTGGGTCAGTTTTGTGCCCCAGCTGATAAGCATTAGTTCTTCACTGTCAGTCTCACCAGGGAGATTGTTGCACTTGCAGCACTGCAGTAGTAAAAACGTGCTACTTCTGGCTCTGGACCTTGTATAACTACTATGGCAGTTGGCTTGCGCTGGACATTGCATTTTCCTTGATACTGGTACCTTCAGCTCATGCATGTCTGCAGCTTTTAGAGATCCCCTTATTTGTGGTATCCTCAAGCGTTTATTTATTTATTTATCTGTCTGTCTATTTATTTATTTTGCATGTTGCCTTTACTGCTGATGGATGTGTCATCTTCTAAGCCACAATCATTTTCATTAACAATTATGTACTATAAACTGGCAATTATATAAATTGTAACAAAATAATTAGTTGCAAAATATAACTACACGTTTTAACTTCCTTTAAACAGCACTAGTGGATAGAGATATTGTTGTCTAATTTTAAATACAATGAGCTGAAGTCTAGAAAGTGCTTTGTCCAAGGTGACATGACTCTGCAGGTCTTTGACAGAACTATATCTAGGATCCAGTTAACCCAGGAAACAGTTATAATGCATCCCAGATGAGTTTTCTGCCTAAGTAAAAGAGCAGAGAAAACTCACAGATTGTAAATTCCTTAGTATATATATTTTAAAGTAGATAGAAAACCAAATTGTAGCTAACTATTCCTTTACAATGTACGAACTTTGACATGGGCAATAACATAATAGTCACAATTGGAAAGCTGTACAAGAGAAAACTGATTATTAAGCTTATGTTTACAATAAAAGTGCCAGATTATTATACAGCAAGAGAAAGTCTATAGGGTAAGTAATGGTCTCTAATAGTCTGGTTTGGTATGATTAATGTGACATTCTGTTTAGTTTAATAACTATATTACGCTCTGTACATTGTTTTGGGGACTATTTGCATAGATGATGTAAAATGCAAAACAGTTTCATATGAAAGTAGCTTTCAGAGATTATTCAGGTCCTCTTTCTTACATATTTTATTTCTTTTTTCTGTGCTTTTATATATCACATAAGAATAAATTTGCTCACATTTGACAGTATAGTGTATCATTATACAATCCAAATATTTCTGTAAAACAGATTACAGAATAATAATCAAAAGATTAAAAACATTATTTTTTGTGGTGAATAAACTATGAATAAGAAAGGTGCATTGATTAAGTTGCAAATTGAACAATTATTTTAGCTTATGAAAAATACAAGGGTTTATCAGTATTGTTTACCTAGAAATCATTGTGGAACACTTATGCCTGCTAAACAGAAAGTTCCCTAAATCCTTAGTACAAATAAAAATATTCAGCCACAAAACTGTATGGGAACTGAAATTAAAAGGCTGGTGCTCTCTGATGGAAGAGAAATTTATAGAATATTAAATATATGTTTACTTTTAATTTTCTTTCTTGGTTATGTCATTAATGAAGAGAACACAAACAATATTTTCTTTATGCAGTCTTGGGTAGTGAATAAAAAATGTGCCTGCTTTGGAGCCTGCCTCTCCCCCAGCACCAATAAAAGACTGAACATTTTTTATGTAGTTACTGTGGTTTTCAGTCAGATGTGCTTCCTAATAATCATTTGCATGTAGCTATGCATTTTCTCACTTGGTATGTTTGAAGGTTTCTAGGCATGGATCTTGTTTACATATGGCCTGACAATAAATTGGTTTAAGGAAGGAAAGGGGCATCTGATATCATTGATAAAAGCTTGTTGGTTTTATTAACAGCTGAATACTTCAGCTGCTTCGGATGAATGCTGCCTTAATTCTCAGGCCATTTTACTGAAATGAATAGGCTTTCCTCCTGAAAGAAGATGACAAATACGTTTAGAAGGCAGACCTTAATTTTGCCTGATAAGATGAAAATGTATCATATATTTTATACTTATTACTCTAATTCTCCAAATGTTTTGTGAAATAGCAATAAACCATACATCTTTTAAGAGATTTTACTGGTGCATATATATGCTTTGCATGTATATTTGTGCAATTAGCTGCTGGCAGTGGGCAGTAAAATGGCTATTACGTACTCTGCTTTCCATATGGGAATGAATTTCAGAATTAAATTTAGCTTATTGCAGAGGAAATGTGCTCATCCACCGGCAGAAGAATGTCATCTGTACCAATGACTGTCTGCTCCTCAGGAGAGCCAGGGCACTGGTAGGGCTGGCACTGGTGCCTGGCAGGTGCTGGCATGGCAGCCAGCAGCAACAACTGGGAAGTGCAGAAACACTGGAAGGAGGAAGAGGGTGGTTCAGGCAACACAGGAACAGTATTTATTCCCATCAAAGTAGAGTGTGTGAGTGTGTGTATATGAACTTAGCATGGGTTTTGAAAAATTATTTTTCTTCTGAGATCACACATGAGAAGAGTTAAAACATACTTGACCCCGAGAAGAAAGGAGAAGAGAGTCCATTTAGTTGATACTGATCTACAAAAGAACTAGAAAATGGACTTTAAGGACAGGGAGCAGAACCTGCCAGCATGTCTGCATCCAGCCTCTGTTATTATACAGGTCTCTGATTCAGTGGCACTTAGAAAAACCCATTCACTTGCCTTAATATTGAGTCTTGGCCTTCAAAAGATTTTATGCCTTTTTCTAAAGCTACTACACTCTGGTTTGTCAAAAACAGAGTGCCCTTAATTTATGACAGTAACTCCTAAAAAACTTTCCTCCATTAGGAGTCCTGAAGCCACTAACCTGAGCTGCTACTCCCACTAAATTGAAGGAACTGCATTGCTCTAAATCCCCCATCTTCTTCTTAGAGGAATGCATTTGGAATAGGAAAATGTATGGGGTTTTTTTGATACTGTTCTAAAGTTTAAGCTACTTCTGCAGAAATTCCACATTGAAAAAAAACCTATCACAATACTGAACATAGGTGATAAAAAGCACATCAGAAATTATGTACAGCTCTAACAATGGGGTTACCATCATTTTTTAGCCTTATGTAATAAACTTTGTAGTGGTGTTACTTTTTTATGAGTTGAGCATTTGTAATGACAGGACTGACAATGTTTGTCAACAGAAATCCTGTTGATACATCCAGCCAGACATAAGGCTGAATTGTTCAGAGGATTAGAAATGGGATAAAGAACAGTAAGTTTTGTATTCCTAATTCAGGAATGTTGCGTTATTAGTACCAGTAATTGGTATTGTAGGGTTTGGTGTTGCAGCTAATTTGCAGTAGAGGCTATTTTTTATAAAAAAAAATTCATATCACAACTCATAAGTTTCTCAGCTGAGATCATTAAATCATGGGACTGTAAAGCTCGGATTGACTTGAAGAGATCATCTAATTCATCACCTATACTGAAAGCAGGATCAAGTACATCCATATGTGACAGATGCTGGTGTATATTCTGTTCTTAAAGTGGGAAAGATTTTCCTGAGATCAGACATAAATCTTCTTTGCTGCAAATTAAGATAATCTCTTCTTATCCACCGTGGCCACAAGGAACAATTGATCGCTGTGTTTTCTATGCCAACTTCTGCCTACTTCAGTCAAAAACCTCTCCCCTTGCCCCTTCCCGCTGCCACTTCCTCTTGGCTGCACCTCATGAGCTCCTTTCAGCTTTCCTTCATTAAAATTACATGTTTTAGTGTTTTGCCCCAAAACACTGACAGTTCTCTGGAAAAGGTCCACTAGCGCTAAGCAGAAGAAAGTAAATACTTCCAGTGCCTCGTATGAAATATTTGTTAACAAAGCCAGAGCAATACTGCTTTTTTTCTGCAGCAGTGTCATGAACAGTTAGTGATGACTCACATACGCTTAGGGATCCATTATAAACCCCCAGACCCTTTCTATCGTACTGCTGAGTTTCCAGGCTGTTGTCATTTTGGTATTGTATTTGACCCGTAAGTATCACACTTGAGAAAG